TCGTTTATGTAGATTATATGAACAAAGAGTGGGCCTAGTACTGGCCCTGGGGAACCCCACTGGTTACACGGCCCCACTCCAGGTTAACACCATCTACGCTGACCCTCTGTGTTCTATCAGTGAGCCATGATTTTATCAATTTAAAACTTTCCCCTCGATACCAGGCCTTAATTTTCTCCAGAAGCCTCTGGTGCGGTACTCTGTCAAATGCTTTGCTAAAGTGTAAGTAAATAACATCGTAATTTTCGTCATTATCTACTACAGTTCCAGGCAGGGCTGATTCAGGAGGGGCAAAGTGGGCAGCGTCTAGGGCCTCCACAATCTGGGGCCTACATATTACAAATACTTATTTATTTGTTTATTCCACTTGGATTATTTTATTTTCATTTTTTAAAAACTATGTTTATCTATTCCATCACATAAACTATGTGTCTGTGCTAAAGAAGCGTGATAGAAATTAGGGCTAGCTACTCCTTGAAATTCATGAATACCTGGTTTTCCTATGAACAGTATATATTTTTAATGAATGCTATTGTTTGTAAAGGTTAATTATATATTTAGAATTCCACAAACATATATTGATTCAAAAATGAACTACATGAATAACGAAATTGAGATTAATAAAACAAATAAAAATATTTTTTTCATTATCACTTCCATTTAATGCCATCAGGGCGCTGTGTTGTTGACAGTTGGTCGAAGGACAGTCGTAGTATCTGCAACACGGTTGTCATGTGTCTGTCGATTAAAGAGAGACTTGCGTCGCCCATGATTCGCATTTCCACGAGTAGACATAAACATGTCTTGCAGATGCAAATGAGAGAGAATTGTCAAGGTGTGCTTGCTGGAGTGAAGTCGTCGCCGCTCAGTGATGAATGATTTGTTAGAAGGTCATTTCAGAACATGTCTTTGCAAATGTACAGTAGGGCGAAAGTGGAGAGAGAGCCACCTGATGCTTGTGCTTGAGTGTGGGTTGGTGTGCTCTAGAATATGCCGTTCACATATATAATTGTGCTTTTAAGGTACCATGTTAAGGTCGATTGGCCGTGTGCTGAGTTAGTTTATGTATTTTGAGTACATTAACTATATTAATGACGGCTTCCTTGTCAGTTCCACGATCAGTATATACAGTATAACACAGTATAGTCAATGTAGAAAAAGGAGGCTAAAACTGACGGCGAGCTTTAGGGGTGAGACTGGGAGAAATCAGGAGGGAGAGGTCATAATCTTACCCAAAATTCAACAAATATGCTGGCGTCCAAATGTTCCAGGGAGCAGCAATCAATTAACCTCTATAAAAGTAGCAAAAGCAAACGCCAATTTGTGTTATTACGTTTTCAATTATAACGAAAATTAGGTGTCCGTCTTTATGGGACAGAAAATTGTTGTTGCAGAAATGAGGAATGGACAGACACAAAGCGGGTGCAATGACGTTTCGGAAAGTGGAAAAGGCAAAGAGAAAGACATCTAAAGAACGTGCTGAGAGAGGTTTAAAGAATGCTAAAAACACGTCACTGACTGAAGCCTCACTTCGTCCATCAGCTTCAGAACACCTAGTCAGTGCTTCTGCAAGCTCATCTTCAAGGCAGCCAGAACAAGTGCAACAACGTACCTGCATGTGATACATCAGCTTCTTCTTTAGGCGGCAGCTCTAGCTCATCTACAGGGAAATGACCAGACTGTTGAGGAGATTGAATTGAATCAAAGCATAAAGTGCTCTCAAGTGCAAATGGCAACTACTAATAAAATTATGACATTGACATTAGCTTATGGTCAGAAACATTTGACAAAACAATTTATTGCGAACGGTTCTGGAGAGTCTCCACCACAGTGATGCTAAATTTTGGATGTAAAATCAGCAGTACAAAAAATGCAAATAATGTCAGTAGCAATGCAACACCAGCCATGTTTGAGCGAAGGAATCGAAATGGGTAGTTGTGTTGTTCTTGGCTTTGTTTCTCCCTCAAAATGGGCGGGTCTACTGCTTCTTTTGCAAGCTAATGGGTGTTTCTAAGATCACAATTCACATTCGATGGGTTCTGCGACTGGAAGCATGCTAATAGGCTTGTTGTCCATGAGCAATCAAAGGACCACATTCAAGCAGTTTTGTCAGCAGCAAGTCGCGCAAAGGGAGCTGGAGGTATAGATTCTAAACTAACTACGCATGTGCGTCAAATTGAGCAGTATTGGTGTAGTCTTCTAAAGCGATTGATCAGCGTGCTTAAATTTATATGTGAAAGAGGGCTAGCTCTTCGTGGAGATGATGAAATAATTGGATCTCCTCATAATAGAAATTACTTGGGATTACTAGAGCTTTTGGCCGAGTATGATGATTTCCTCAGGCAACACATCCAGAATCATGCTAATCGTGGCACTGGTCATACAAACTATTTGTCTTCAACCATCTGTGAAGAAATTGTCAGACTAATGGGCAATGAAGTACTGAACGAAATTATCTCACGTATAAAGCTCTCAAAATATTACTCAATTTCTCTAGATTCCACCCCTGATGAAGGCCATATTGATGAACTAACTCTGATAATCAGATACATGGAGCATGACACACCTGTTGAGAGATTTGTGAAATTCTTGCCAAATCAAGGACACAAGGCTCAAGAAATGTTTGAAGGTTTGATGAAGTTTCTTGCAGACAATGACATTGACATTCAAAATTGTCGTTGGCAATCTTATGATAATGCAACATCTATGAGAGGGAGGTACAATGGTCTGCAAGCCAAAGTTGTAGCTGAAAATCATCATGCAATTTGGATACCCTGTGCTGGTCATTCATTAAACTTGGTTGGAAAAGCTGCAGCTGAATGTTGTCAAGAAGCTATCTCATGTTTTTATTTTCTTGAGGCAATTTATGTTTTCTTCACAGCTTCTACACATCGTTATGCAATTCTTAGTGATTTATTGAAAACTGTAGCGTCTGGCCCGGTATCTGTGCCAAAGAGGATTTCCACAACAAGATGGTCCTGTCGAGCAGTTGCAGTGAAAGCAGTTGTCCAAGGTTATCTCCCAATAAGTGTAGCACTTGCTAAAATAGCAAGAGATGAAAATGAGACGAGCAAAACATGTTATGAAGCCAATGGTCTCCATGATAAGATGTGCAAGTTAGAGACTGCTATTTATGCTGTGTTTTGGCATGGCATTCTTGGCAGAGTTGATGCAACAAGCCATGCATTGCAAGATCCTAAACTCGATTTGAACACAGCGGTAGCAATACTGAAGTCCTTGGAATGGTTTATACGAGAAAAAAGAGATTGCTTCCATGTTTATGAGAAGAAGGGAAGGGAAATGTCAGAAACTGGGGATTATTCACAGACACGCAAGCGTCAACGTAATGTACGACTCAATCCATTGGATTATGGACGATCAGAAGAAGCAGCACTCTCACAGTCAGAAAAATTTCGGGTTCAGAATTTCCTTCCAGCAATTGATTTGGATCAAACACTTGGAGTTGAACTTGTGCAGCTTACAGCATTCTTCACTCAATTACTTGAAGACGAAGATGATGAGAGAGGTCTGTAAATAAAGGTAATGTTTATTTTCTATTTTGCAACTGATCAATGTTTGTGTTCAATATACCCATTATCCATGGTCGATGGCAGTTATTTTTATTAAAATTCTTGTTTTTTCCAACATGTTCATACTTTTGTTATAATTTTATCAAATTCATTAAATTGTTTATTTGTTTTACTATTGGATGCAAAACTTCAATTTTATTTATAGTTAAGTTAATATTTATTCTGAATCCATCTGACCGTGGACTTAAAGAAGCCTATACATGCATTCTTGGACAGAACCATTATTTGAGTAGAGGTTTATCTGATTATTAATGCAAAGAATCATCTCTCTGTAATAACGAATAATATTTTCTTTTCTGTGAAGTCTTTTGAAAATTTTTGACATGTGCGGTAGTAGCTATATCAGGGCTGGTCGACTTGAAACCACATGAATTACTCCAGTCATATCTCACTTTTGTGTGTGTGTATGTGTGTGTGTGTGTGTGTTGGAAATTTGTACACTATCAATAAATATACAGTTAATTAAAAATTTCTCAATGTTCTAATTTCCTCAATATAACTGCACATGACTTCAAAATTCTCCAAAGAAGTGTTCAAATTTCAAAATTTTCCCGGGGGGCTTACAGCGCCCCCAGGAACTCCCAGATGTTTAGGCTCGCTTCACTTGCCACCCCACCCTCGTGGGTAGTTATAATGAGGGGGGCCTCCACAAAGAGGCTGCCCATGGGCCTCCACAGGTCTAAATCCGACACTGTTTCCAGGTTGATATATAGATGGACATGGACATATTATGAAAAAAAAATCGTTGTACAAGTTGTTCATTGATTCAGCATTTATAACAGTGTAAACAGATGTTGTCACTCAAAAAAATTATCCACACAAAATTGTGTTGAGAAATATGACAACGGATGACGGATGACGACCTTACCAAGACAATGGGAGTCCCACTGTTCATTTTGAAATTCATCGACCACCCCCCAGCACAACATTTTTTTTGAGTGACTCTACTTGAGGGTATACAAAGGTAAACAGTAAAAGTCACTTCGACCAATGACAGCAGCCAACATAGTTATCAGAAGCTCTCGTCATTTTGTGTATAAGAAAGTAAAGTAAAACCTGACCAATTGGACGACCTACATGGTATAGAGAAGAATGTTAGCCTAGTGTACTGTACTTCTGTGTCATGTGGTGTAAACAACCATAATATATAAACAATACCAACGTGAAAACAACCATAATGTCACCATTCGCAATGTGTAAACAACCATAATATGTAAACAATCGGAATACGTAAACAATTCCAATATTGACACAGGCCAACAAGAACTGGCCTCCGTGATATGAGTCGCTATTACCTGTGACGAAATAATCTCCAGATATTTGACTGGCCACTGTTTGTGATTGGTGGATGGAGAATCAGAAGCGAGGATTGGTTGAGAATTGTGAGAAACGCCTGCGCAGTGAAGACGACCAGACCAAGGTACTATAACTAAAGACCTTGGACCAGACCTGCCACTCAGAAGCACCTGTCACACCACTGAGGCCGGCAGGTAACATTACACCTCCTTCCTTCGTTAGCTCTCCGCACCCACTCCACTATCCACGCCATCACACTCAGTAAATTAAGTTTTATGAAGGAAAATATTAATTCCTAGAATCCTGTGTTGATCTTTCCGTTTTTAAACATTCATTATGGAAAAGAAAAACACTACCAAAGCTACTCTTTCCTCTGTATACAGGAAGGAAAATACCCGAGGCTGTTAGAGAAGTTCGCTGATATTCTACTTCTTTATTAGTTTATTTTGCTATTCGTTGTAGCTTTATTAAAATTTTCATCAATATTTAGAATCAGACGGCATTTATCTTTGAAAACAGTCCTTGTATCACTCGGTCTCAGTTAACCATTCCAAATAAACCACAACTCAATCTTGGATGACGTGGACGCTGCTCCTTGACAGTACTGAACGGGTACTAGTAGCTTCACCCAAAACATTTACACAACTGTAGACCCGAATTAAAAAAACAACATAAATATTGTTCAAACCATATAAAGTTATCATAGCGATGTCTAGTACCGTATTAAATATTTACCACAGAACCTCCAAGGAATACTTAGTGAGATATTAAAGCAGAAGGAATGGAACAAATGAAGATTAGCCCTATAGTTTATTTCACTTTAAGATTAACCACGCTAACCTAACCTAACTCAACCTAACATAATCTAATGTATTCTAACCTAACCTAACTCAACATAATTTAACGTATTCTAACCTAACCTAACTCAACCTAATCTAACCTAACGTAACATAATCTAACGTATTCTAACCTAACCTAACTCAACCTAATCTAACCTTAACCAACGTAATCTGACCTAACCCAACAACACTTAAAACCAAACCTAACTTAACCTAACCTAACCTAATCTAACCTAACCTAACCTAACCTAACCTAACCTAACCTCCCTAGATAGCATTAGAGTATTTTAAAATCAAGTGATATAAACCGGGTGGGGGGGAGGGGTACTAATCTTCAGGTAATCAGGAGTGATCATGAACATTTAAAAACTCCCGAAAGAGTAACTAAGGAACTGGTCTACCCTGGCAGGTTAGAAACGGCAGGATGGAAGTGGCGGTGCTCCTCCTGGTACTCCTCGCCTCACGCCTCACCTTCCTCACCACACACTGCTCAATTGTCTACCTCAAGGACTTCGAGCTGGTGAGTGTAGTGTAGCTAAATCATCAGTCATAAGGTCATCACTGCTGTCACAAGGTCATCACTGCTGTCACAAGGTCATCACTGCTGTCACAAGGTCATCACTGTTGTCACAAGGTCATCACTGTTGTCACAAGGTCATCACTGTTGTCACAAGGTCATCACTGTTGTCACAAGGTCATCACTGCTGTCACAAGGTCATCACGGCCACAAGGTTATCACTGAGTTATCAAGTCATCACTGTGTCATCACTCAGCACTGTAACTTACATTAATACTATATTATTAAAGTTGTCAACATCACCAAATGGAACACCGAATACTAACATTATAATATATTTGATTGAGTCAAAGTTGAATACTAGAGGTGAGCTATATCATTGTGGTAGTATGTCAGGCTATATTGTGGTAGTATGTCAGGCTATATTGTGGTAGTATGCTAGGATATATTGTGGTAGTTTGCTAGGCTATATCATTGTGGTAGTATACTAGGATATATCATTGTGGTAGTATGCTAGGCTATATCATTGTGGTAGTATGCTAGGATATATTGTGGTAGTATGCACGGCTATATCATTGTGGTAGTATGCTAGGCTATATCATTGTGGTAGTATGCTAGGATATATTGTGGTAGTATGCTAGGCTATATCATTGTGGTAGTATGCTAGGCTATATCATTGTGGTAGTATGCTAGGCTATATCATTGTGGTAGTATGTTAGGCTATATCATTGTGGTAGTATGCTAGGCTATATCATTGTGGTAGTATGCTAGGCTATATCATTGTGGTAGTATGCTAGGATATATTGTTGTTGTAGTATGTCAGGCTATATTGTGGTAGTATGCTAGGCTATATCATTGTGGTAGTATGCTAGGATATATTGTGGTAGTATGCTAGGCTATATCGTCGTGGTAGTATGCTAGGCTATATCATTGTGGTAGTATGCTAGGATATATTGTGGTAGTATGCTATGCTATATCGTTGTGGTAGTATGCTAGGCTATATCATTGTGGTAGTATGCTAGGATATATTGTGGTAGTATGCTAGGCTATATCATTGTGGTAGTATGCTATGCTATATCGTTGTGGTAGTATGCTAGGCTATATCATTGTGGTAGTATGCTATATCATTGTGGTAGTATGCTAGGCTATATCGTTGTGGTAGTATGCTAGGATATATTATGGGAGTATGCTAGGCTATATCGTTGTGGTAGTATGCTAGGATATATTGTGGAAGTATGCTAGGCTATATCGTTGTGGTAGTATGCTAGGCTATATCATTGTGGTAGTATGCTAGGATATATTGTGGTAGTATGCTAGGCTATATCATTGTGGTAGTATGCTAGGATATATTGTGGTAGTATGCTAGGCTATATCATTGTGGTAGTATGCTAGGCTGTATCATTGTGGTAGTATGCTAGGCTATATCAATGTGGTAGTATGCTAGGATATATCATTGTGGTAGTGTGCTAGGCTATATCAATGTGGTAGTATGTTAGGCTATATCATTGTGGTAGTGTGCTAGGCGACATCGTTGTGGTAGTATGCTAGGCTATATCAATGTGGTAGTATGCTAGGATATATCATTGTGGTAGTGTGCTAGGCTATATCAATGTGGTAGTATGTTAGGCTATATCATTGTGGTAGTATGCTAGGTTATATCGTTGCGGTAGTATGCTAGGTTATATCATTGTGGTAGTATGCTAGGATATATCATTGTGGTAGTGTGCTAGGCTATATCAATGTGGTAGTATGTTAGGCTATATCATTGTGGCAGTATGCTCGGCTATATCGTTGCGGTAGTATGCTAGGTTATATCATTGTGGTAGTATGCTAGGCTATATCAATGTGGTAGTATGCTAGGATATATCATTGTGGTGGTATGCTAGGCTATATTGTGGTAGTATGCTAGGCTATATCATTATGGTAGTATGCTAGGCTATATTGTGGTAGTATGCTAGGCTATATTGTGGTAGTACACTAGGCTATATTGTGGTAGTATGCTAGGATATATTGTGGTAGTATGCTAGGTTATATCATTGTGGTAGTATGCTAGGATATATCATTGTGGTAGTGTGCTAGGCGACATCGTTGTGGTAGTATGCTAGGCTATATCATTGTGGTAGTATGCTAGGTTATATCATTGTGGCAGTATGCTCGGCTATATCGTTGTGGTAGTATGCTAGGTTATATCATTGTGGTAGTATGCTAGGATATATCATTGTGGTAGTATGCTAGGTTATATCATTGTGGCAGTATGCTAGGCTATATCATTGTGATGGTATGCTAGGCTATATCATTGTGATGGTATGCTAGGTGGCATCGTTGTGGTAGTATGCTAGGCTATATTATGGTAGTATGCTAGGCTATATTATGGTAGTATGCTAGGCTATATCGTTGTGGTGGTCTACAGGCCGTGACTGGACCTAGGGCGTGCAGGATAAAAGGAGAGAGAGACATCCCGCCCGGCATCAAAACCAACAGGAAGGACTCGTACTGTATCTTACACTGTGCTCAGCATTACTGGTGCGAGTATGTACACCAAAATGGTGAGTAACTTCTGCTTTGATGGTAAACTGAAGGTAAACACACACTATAAGAACAGTATTTTGTGTTGGACGTAGACCTATACTGTACATGAGTATGTTGTGTTGGAGGTAGACCCCACACATGAGTATGCTGTGTTGTAGGTAGACCTATACACAGTGGTGGGCACAGCTGAACGAATAGTTAGCTTCGCTAACAGCTAATCTGTTAACTAAAAAGATAAATTCGCTAACGCTAAACCGCAAAACAGCTAAAAAAAATTGCGGAAGCTAACGCTTACCTCTAACTTTTATTTTATGAATTAAGCTTCGGTTTGATTGTTTTTTGGCTCTAAAACCCTTAAAACAGACTTAGAGCTGAAATTTTCATATGTTGTCTTGTAGCTTAGACATAGAGCTTTCCAAAAAGGTATAGCATGCCAAGATCAGATGATGATCAAGGTGTACACAAATAATTAAATGAACAAATGAAATTAAACATTAGTTTACATTCAAGTTTCAACATACACTTTATAATCTTTATTTACCGTAAGAAAAGACAGAAAGTATTAAACGAATCCAATAACTATAATACTGTATAGCATAGGTAGCAAATAGCATCATGCCAAGATCAGATGATGATCAACTTATCAAGGTGTACACTGTACACAATTTCACAAATAATTAATTTGCATTCTCATACAACCTATCAGCCTTATTCATTATTCATGTACAGTTGGTCCTCATATTACGCGGTCCCGCATTCCGCGTTTCACAGTTAACGCGGTGCCTTGCCAGAACCTAATATTTTCACATTCCGCGGTCGTGAACCCCATTACGCGGAGAGCGGCTGGCAAGCCGCGCCATTTTTGGATCCAAACCTCCCGCCATCCGCCATGTTGTGTAAGAGGCGCGAAAATGGTGCACACAAGGTCGCCCAGTCATCAAAACATGACCAGTTCTTCACCCGCCACCCACTACAGCCGGCCCAAGTCAGTCATAGTGATAATTATAGTGAGGATATGGACTTATATGAACTTTGGGGGGTTTGACAAAGAGGCCCTGCAAGCCTCTGTGGTGGATAGTGATACAATTGATACAAGTGATACAGGTGAGGGCCAATAATCTGCCCTCTGCCTCGGAACCAACCGCCCATCCCCGTGTGCCCAGCCATCTTTTCTACTAATGTAAGTGTTAAAAAACCTAATATTATTGATATTTCTCTTAATTATTAATTGTGTGTGCATGCCATCATAAAGTTAAGATAATATTTTTACTACAACATAGTTGTGTGTCGTCAAAAAGTGGAGTTTGGGGATCGGCCCGGACTCCATTTCAATTAATCCCATACGTTATGTTATTCACTTTACGCGTTTCTCACTTTCCGCGGTACCCTCCGGGTTACATTAACCGCGTAATATGAGGACCAACTGTATATATGCAATACCAACCACATACACATTATACCAATACATTTTTATATAACTTATTGTTGGTCTTAGTCATGTAAATAAACAGAAAACTCTAAACTTTACATGTACTAACACGCAGTCAGTCAAGTGTGCCTGACTGGCTGTTGGAGACACGCGTCGCGGCGTCACACGCTTACAACAGACAGGAACAAACATGTATAAATTTTATTTGCGGACTTAAAGTTAGCGGAGCTAAATTTTGCGGAAGCTAATTGGTCCGCTAATAGTTTCCAAAGTTAGAGAAAACGCTAGTCCGCTAACAAGATATTTAGCTTCGCTAATTAGCGGTTAGCAGATTCGTGGAACCATGCCCACCACTGCCTATACATGAGTATGTTGTGTTGGAGGTAGACCTATACATGATTATGTTGTGTTGGAGGTAAACCCACTCACACATGAGTATGTTGTGTTGGAGGTAAACCCACTCACACATAAGTATGTTGTGTTGGAGGTAAACCCACTCACACATGAGTATGTTGTGTTGGAGGTAAACCCACTCACACATAAGTATGTTGTGTTGGAGGTAAACCCACTCACACATGAGTATGTTGTGTTGGAGGTAAACCCACTCACACATGAGTATGTTGTGTTGGAGGTAAACCCACTCACACATGAGTATGTTGTGTTGGAGGTAGACCTATACGTGAGTATGTTGTGTTGGAGGTAGACCCCACACATGAGTATGTTGTGTTGGAGGTAGACCTATACGTGAGTATGCTGTGTTGGAGGTAGACCCCACACATGAGTATGTTGTGTTGGAGGTAGACCCCACACATGAGTATGTTGTGTTGGAGGTAGACCCCACACATGAGTATGTTGTGTTGGAGGTAGACCCCACATATGGATATGTTGGAGGTAGACATAGACATGAGTATATTTTCATTATGGACCCACAACAGTACTTATCTACGACTACGAGCATTCAACACACATTACCTTACTTTTATTCTCCTCGCCATTGATCGGTTTGTGAGCGTGTGCGTCTCTGTTACGCACTGTAGGCAAGTACTAGGCATGCACCGGCTCCTGAATGTAGCTGAACCTGCTCCAGTGTTGGTCAAGTCTGGTCTTGAATGAGCTCACACTCAGTGCCGTCACAACTCTAGCAGATTATTTCAAGACTTTACAATTCTCACTCCAAAAGCTGTCTCTGACAGTTTTCTAGACTTGCAGCTTCTTCAACCTTGAGCCTTGACCTTTTGTGGGGCGAGCGTCCGCCAGCTCCAGGTATGGACACTCGACTGGGTAGTGCCTTCTGAGATGTTTATAAACTTCAATTAGATGTCCCCTTGCCCGTCTGTAGTATAAGCTAGGCAACCGCAGACGTTCTAACGGTCTAACCTCTATGGGTAACTGAAGTGCCTTAGCGCAGGCACCAGTTTGGCGGCCCTCCTTTGGACTTTTCAATTAACTGACAGTCTTTAGCATATCTCGGGGATCAGACAGGGTGACAGTACTCCAGACGGGGAAGCACCTCACTCTTCAAAAGTGTGAGGTGAGATGAGATGTAAGAATGCTGATTGTGATTATTGTGTTTATATGATTGAGAATAAGTCAGCACATCATAAAAAACTCCTGGGACTGCATTTTATGCACAGGAGTCAACATAAGACACAATTTAAAAAGCATTGTGAGTCGTCCATTGTGTCTGTTCAATGATAAGCAACTCTACTCTAATATACTTTGTTTTTTTCTGTGACGTAATAATGTACACGTGATAAGAGACATGACAATCGATAACTCACTTGACGAACCCAGATGACAGAACCCTCCTCAGTTCTAGGAAAAGTGAGGTGATAACCCCCCTCCTTGTCGATCCCTTGTCGATATTTATAAATAAAACTCAAGTATCAATGGCCAGGGCCCTCTTACCTCTGACAAATACTGGACAATACTTTAAGAGATTTTCCATCACGAACATACTAGTGCAGTGTGCTGAGGGGGGACGGCTGGTAATGCAGGGAGTGGGAGGAGCATTGGTGGTGGTAGTACAGGGGTGGGGGAGCATGGTGGTGGTAGTACAGGGGTTGAGGAGCATGGTGGTGGTAGTACAGGGTGGGGGGAGCATGGTGGTGGTGAGTACAGGGTGGGGGACATGGTGGTGGTGGTGCAGGGTGTGGTGGGGACATGGTGGGTGGTGGTGGGGGTGGTGGGGACATGGTGGTTGGTGGCAGGTTGGGGACATGGTTGGTTGGTGGGGTGCAGGTTGGGTGGTTGGTGGTGCAGGTTGGGGACTGTGGTTGGTGGTGGAGTTGGTGGGACTGTGGTGGTTGGTGTGGTGCAGGTTGTGTGGTGGGACAGGGTTGGGGCTGTGGGGTGGTGGTGCAGGTGGGGGCTGTGGTGTGGTGGTGCAGGTTGGTGGGACGTGGTTGGTGGTGGTGGGGTTGGGGGCATGGTGGTGGTGGGACAGGTTGGGGGCATGGTGCTGGCGGTGCAGGGTGGGAGGCATGATGGTTGTAGTGCAAGTGGGGTGGTGGTGTGGTGCAGGGTGGGGAGCATGGTGGATGCAGAGTTGGGGGGACGTGGTGGTGGTACAGGTTGAGTGGGACATGGTTGTGAGTGCAGGTGTGGAACTGTGGTTGGTGTGCAGGGGTGGGGTGTGGTGGGGTGGTGGGGTTGGGGACGTGGTTGGTTGAAGGGTGCAGGGTTGGTGGGGGTGAGTGGGTGGTTGGTTGGTGTGCGGTTGGTTGGGGTTGGGACATGGTGTGGTGGTGCAGTGGTGGTGAGGACATGGTGGTTGGTGGTGCAGGTTGGTGGGACGTGGTTGGTGGTGCAGGCAGGTTGGTGGGGACGTGGTTGGTTGGTGGTGCAGGTTGGTGGGTTGGTGGTGTGAAGTTGGGACATGGGTTGGATGGTGCAGGGGTGGGACGTGGTGGTGCAGGTTGGTGGGACTGTGGGTTGGTGTGGGGTTGGGGACTGTGGTGGTGGTGGTGGGGTGGTGGGACGTGGTGGGTGTGGTGCAGGGTTGGTGGGACTGGTGGGTGGTGGGGCATTGGTGGGAGCATGGGGAGTGCAGGGGTGGTGGGGAGCATGGTGGTGGTGGTGCAGGGGGTGGTGGAGACATGGTGGTGGTGGTGCAGGGTGGGACGTGGTGGTGGTGGTGCAGGTGGTGGGGCATGGTGGTGTGGTGCAGGTGGGGGACGTGGGTGGTGGGACTGGTGGGTTGGTGGTGCAGGGGTGGTTGGGCGTGGTGGTGGTGTGCAGGGATGGTGGGGACATGGTGGGTGGTGCGGGGATGGTGGGACGTGGTGTGGTGGGTGGTGCAGGGGTGGTGGGGCTGTGGGTGTGGTGCAGGTTGGGGTGGGACATGGTGGGTGGTGGTGCAGGTTGGGTGGGACATTGGTGGTGGGTGGGACATGGTGGTGGTGTGGGGTGGTGGAGCTGTGGTGGTGGTGCAGGGGTGGTGGGGCATGGTGGTGGTAGGAATGGTGGTGTGCAGGTTGGTGGTTGGTTGGGGTGGGGATGTGTGGTGCAGGTTGGGTGGGTGGCGTGGTTGGTTGGTGGGACATGGTGGGGTCAGTGGTGCTTGGTGGGACGTGGTG